CTTACTTAAAATCATTGGTAACTTTTGAACTGGTAACTATTCAAAGTTACAAAGGCACTGAAGAAAGTAACTGATGGCTGTTTTTCACATTATGATTATTACAGAATCCCAATGGTCATGCAATTGAAATTTGGATGCTTGGCAGCTAGTTCATATTTATGATTCTGTGTCCTGGGGCCATGTGATCATCTTTGGGACCTTCTGACAAGCAAAGTCAATGGGAAAACCAAATTCACTTAAAAACTGAAGTTCCTTACTTAACAACTGCAGCAATTCATTTAACAGTTGTGGCAAGAAAGGTTGTAAAATTAGGCAAATCTCACTTAAAACTATCTTGCTTCACAACATAGATGTTGAGTTCAATTGTGGTCATAGTCAAGGACTTCCTATATAGTACTATAATCTATATAGTATTATGAACACTGCTCAGAATCACTACATGAGGAGGTGTGTTATAAAAATTTGATAAATAAATAAAGGGGACATTACAAACCAAATAGTAATTTACTTTTACAAATAAATTTCTCTTTTTCTTTATTTTCTCTCTGCCATTTGTAAACAACAATAAATACGAATTCAGTGAAGATCTCGGTGTTAAGGATTGAACTTAAGATAAAAAACATTTATTGCATTATAAAATAAGTTCATCCATTTCGCAATTGTCAACCAAGCCACATTTAGCTTTAAATTTAAACAACCTTTTATTCATTAGCATTCCAGAAACCATAGTTCATATTGACATTAATTTCCCCTTATCTTTAAAATTTTAAATTATGTAAATAATCCTAGGGTTAACTTTTTATAATTATTACTGGATTGATGGCAATGTGGCTGCTGTAATACATTGAATATTTTCTTTTTATAACAACAGAATATATTTAAGAAGTAAAAAAAATACCATACTCATCAATATAAAAAAACCAGGCTCCCCTACATTTTAGCTTAATTACAATTATGATTATGATTTTTTTATCTATTTTATTTTTTTCCAGATTTTGTTCTATTGTACTTTATTAATTTATTTGATTCTTTTTGTTAGATTTTATTGTTTTTTATTTTTTATTTAAATATGGTTTTACACTATGTAAGCTGCTTTGAGTCACCATGGGCGAATAGACAGCAATATAAATTAAATAAATAAATATACTTTATTCATTAACCATGAAATTCAGTCAATTAAACATTCAAAAATGCATCACAAATACCATTGACTGGTGCTAATGGTTAATACGGCTTGCTGCCAGCATCCCAGGTATCAAGTAAGTACCCTTTAAAGATGTATTATGTTCTAAATAGCAGTTTTTTGCAATTCTGCTGGTGATAGTGCAGGAGGCTGGAATTTCTTGATGTATTTTTTTTTTTGTGCCAAGTGCCCCAATGACAATGGGTATCATTGTTACATGTTTCCTTCATAATTGCACAGTTTTGATGGCCAGGTTCTGATATTTCATGTTTTTTTTAGTTCTTTTTCTTGGACTCTGGCATCTCCTGGTACTGAAATATCAATAAATTGTACTTTTCAGTTTTTGACAACTGTAATATCTGGCATGTTGTGTTCAAAATGGTGATCTGTCTATATTCCAAAGTCCCACAAGATCTTCACCTTCTCATTTTTAATAACTTTATTCCCTTTATGTTCCCATGATTTTTCAAATAAGGGTAAGTCGTATTTTTTACAGAACGAAAAGTTGATTAATTTAGCAACTTAGTCGTGTCTAGCTTTGTAATCAGTTCGTGCAATTTTGCTGCATTTACATATTAAATGTGAAATGGTTTCAACTTTGTCCTTGCAAATGGACCAGCAGCCCTAGCAGCTGGGAGACTAATCAGTCAGTTCAGTCAGAACTTAGAACTTTATTCCCTGGAGATGTTAGAAGTCTGATTGAACTGGTAGTCACAGGGTCTTTTTTTGTTGCCCTGCATGGAGGAGACGAGTGCTGGAAATCAAGTTAGTGAGGGATTAGTCTGTGCCCTGGAATGGATTTTGCATTATCATTATTTTGAAATGGGGTAGAAATGAGGATATGGCATTATCTTTTCTCTTGGATGGGGTAGAAGTGAGGATTTTGCATTATAATGCAAAGTCTAATTTCCACCCCATTTCAAAAAAATGAAGTTTGTCAAAAAAAAAAGAAGCTCCAATTTCTTTTTTGGAAGGTCTGATTGAACCTTTTTTAAACTGATAGTCACATAGTGTTCTTTGGTTGCCCTGCATGGAGGAGAATGGAGCTGGAAATCAGATTAGTGAGGGCATGGGATGGAAGTGAGGATTTTGCATTATGAGTGTATATAAATAAGTAAGAACCAGTAAAAGAGGAATTGAAAAATCTCTCTCTGAAGATCAGCATTTTTCAATCTTGGCAAGTTTAAGATGGGTGAACTACGTGCTACCTTGAGAATTTTGGGAATTGAAGTCCATGCACCTTAAAATTGCCAAAGTTGAGAAGCATGAGTCTACACTATAGCTTAGGATTTTCCATTCTGGATTTATTTAGAGTCTGGTGCAATTAAATAAATCAGTTGTGGTTTCCTTAACCAATAGTGATTAAAGCAATATGAACCATAGATGCAGATGTTTCATTACCAAACTAGGTAACATCATCAGTACTAGAAGGGAGTGGAGTTTGCTCTTATTCTCATATATTGGGGGCTTACCCTCAGTGTTGATCAGTTGCTTCACAAACAATATTTTGATTGGTGCCAGATCTCTATAGCCTCAGGCAGAGAAGAACTATTGTGCACACCTCCTTCAAATGTTCTTTAAAATACAGAATTTCCCAACATTCCTTTTGGAAACTCCAATATGCAAACTGTGATTACTCCTCCTAAAATGAAACTTCTTTACCTTGAGCTTGAAAATTTGCTGTTTGCTGGGAAGATATGTAGCTAAAATTCAGTCTACATTTAGTGTACATCTGATTTGGGGTTCCAACTTTAGGTTACATTTTTGGCTGATTATTTTACTTCTACTATTAGTAAGGAAATGAATGAGAAATCATCATTATTATAATTATTCCTGAAGTGTGTGTGCATAAAAGGCATCAGTGATCACTGATCATAACAGCACAAGAGCAGGCACTAAGCACCAGATCTATAGTAGCAGGGATTTACCACACTAGATGGAACCCAAGGGCTAGATCAGTGTCACTCAGCTGAAAGATGTATGGATTTTAACTCCCAGAATTCTCTAGCCAGTCATCAAGGAGTTTCCGAAGAAGATTGTGGAGAATAATAGAGCTAAGAATCTGTGAGAGTTCCAGATTCATAAGGCCAGGCAGGCATTAGATAATCTACCAGACACTGTAGTAGTAGACAGATTAATAGACAAAGAACAGAAGAGTTCAGGAGGTCAGGCAAGCCGGGCGAGGCAAGGCACCCCTTGACATGAGTGATGTGTCATGCCCCCCCCCCCAGTTACATGACTAACCAGTCATGCCCACCCAGTGACATGACCACTAAGCCATGGCCACCAAGCCCTGTCCACAGAATTGGCAATAAATTTTTTTGCATCCCACCACTGATTAGTTTGTAGTTCTTGTTCTTGAGCAGCAAGTATTAAACCTTCCATTTCTTCCTTGATGGAAGAATAAACCATGCCCATTTCAAGCTGTCATAACATTTTCCTTCAATGTTTTTCAAGTGCTGCCCATGCAAAGCTTTGGTTTTCCATCTATTTAATCTATCTTCCAGCTGTATTTCCTTATATTGTGCCTCTGCTTCTGTTGTTTTTACAATGTTCTTTGTTTTCACAGCCTGCAGCAATTTTTCTGTACTTTGGTTCACATAATCAATCTGTTATTGTTATTTGTATTATTATTATTTAAAAATGAAACCCAGTTAATTGCTCCCTCTTATTCAAATCAGGTCTCAGAATAATGATATAGCACATGGGAGAAAAAATGCAGCCCAGCAATCCAGCTGCTGAAGCCAAAATGGAGAAGATCTCCACAGCAACCACGTATTCTGCCTTGGTGCTCAAATAGGTGGGAACAAATGACACCCAGACACTGCAAAAGACCAAGATGTTCTCTGTTTTCACAGCTTGCAGAAATTTTTATGTACTCTGGTTCACATAATAATTATGTTATTGTTATTGTTGTTTTTATTGTTACTGTTACTGTTATTTAAACATGAAACTCAGTCAACTGAACATTTAAAAATGTATCACAAATATCACTGACTGGCTCCAATGTTTGATATAGTTTGCTGACAGCATCCTAGGTATCAACAAGAATCTTCTTAAAATTTACATTGTTTTAAGTAGCACAAACTTTTGCAGCTTGCTGGCATTATCACTGGAAGCTGCAAATTCTTGAGGTATTTTCCAAAATTCTTGGACATTGTACCAAGTACCCCGATGACAATGGGTATCACTGTTACATGTTTCATCCAATAATTGTGTAGTTTCGATATCTAGGTCGTGATATTTAATAATTTTTTCCTGTTCATTTGCATTAGAATTATAATTATACATTTTTGTCATTCTACGAAATGCAGCAAAACACTTAGGCCTCATGAAACATTTTGGGATTTGGCTTCTTGAAATTCACTGAAAGCAAGAAACAAAACACAGCTATAAAAGCACTATTAGACCAATATCTTTAAGGAAATTTGAGACAGTTAAATGCAGGAAGCTAAGAAGTAATTCTCCATCACAATCGTCTTCCAAAATGTCTGATGGTTAAATGAGAGTTTTCAGTCACACAGGTTCTCTGTATGTTTATTTTTCCAATAATGTCTAACTTCCGGGTTTGACTTCATGGGAATCTTGATGCAAAGCAAGAGTGACATGCTAAATTATCTGTCATAGTTTCACAGAGTGAGTGTAATAGGGACATATATCTGTGTCCCTATATATCAAGGTATTGTCTTATATGTCACATTGATATGCTGATATGAGCGAATAACGCAGAATCCCCAAAGCACTCCCCAAAACCCAAACCCTTTATATTATATGGAAAATAACCAATTTATCTTCATTCAAGATATAAATATCAGTTTTATTTTTTTATTAATTGCTCCTTCTTATTCAAATCAGGTCTCAGAATAATGATATAGCACTTGGGAGAAAAAATGCAGCCCAGCAAACCAGCTGCTGAAGCCAAAATGGAGAAGATCTCCACAGCAACCACATATTTTCCCTTGGTGCTCAAATAGGTGGGAACAAATGACACCCAGACACTGCAAAAGACCAACATGCTGAAGGTGATGAATTTGGCTTCGTTGAAGCTGTCGGGTAAATTCCTAGCCAAGAAGGCCACTGTGAAAGTGACAGCAGTCAAGAGCCCCATAAAGCCAAGGACAGTATAAAACATTGTGGTTGAACCTTCGTTACATTCCAGGACAATTTCTTCAACCATGGAGTGCATGTCTGAATCTGGAAATGGGGGAGATATTGCCAACCACAATAAACAGATGGTGAACTGAACTGTGAAGACAGATAGGACAATAGTGTTGGCCATCCTTCTCCCCACCCACTTCCTCATTTTGGAGCCTGGCTTTGTGGCCATGAAAGCAAGAACTACTATGGTTGTTTTACCCAAAATACAAGAAAGAGCTATTGAGAAAGTGATGCAAAATGTAGTTTGTCTCAAGAGACATTTTACTTGATCGGGTTGCCCAATGAAGAGAAGAGTGCAAAGGAAGGAGAACAGGAGAGCAATAAGAAGTGTGTAGGTGAGGTTCCTGTTGTTGGCTTTGACAATGGGAGTGTCCTGGTGTTTAATGAAGATTCCCAGGACCGCAGCTGAGATGACAGAAAAGGAGACTGCAATCATTACCAAAGAAATACCCAACAGCTCTTGGAAAGTTAAATAAGTTACAGGTTTTTGAAGGCAATTATCTTGACCCTTGTTTGGATATTGATCCTCTGGACATGGGAAACAGTCATCTAAGTCTGGGGAAAAAGAACAAATAAAACTGTTTCACAGAGCCATGATAGGTTTAAGCATGAAGAATTAATAGCATACTTTATTTACTAAGATATCATGACTTCATATTATTTTTTGAAAATAATATACAAAATGCACTTAAGTATACAACCTATCAGATAAGATTTTCCGACACCATAATACTTATACTTAATAAATTTATATTTATTAAATTATCCATATATTAAACATATTTCTTTGCTTACCCATTTGGTCAGCTATCTTCCCATCTGGACACTGTCTACAGTCATAGCAGCAGGATAATCTCCCTTCAATTTTTACCTTGCTGGAGCCAGAAGGACATTTCTCATTACAGATGGAAAGAGGCATTGTCTGTTATAAGTAAAATGAGATTTCTTCCATATGAAGCATGTATGTGTTGGGAGTGTCCATTTCATCAATTATACATACCCAAATTCTTCCCATCCTCACCAATCGTTAGTGTCCAATTTCACCATTTTCTTTTGTTTCAAATTCATTAAAATTCAGTTCAGTTCAATTAATTTGTTTCTCAATCTTCAGCAAGTAAAAGAGGTGTGAACTTCAACTGCCAGAATTCCACAGCCAGGATGTTGAAGTTTGGAATTGAAGTCCACACCTCATAAATTTGCTGAGTTTGAGAAACAAGCACCTGCTGTTTTTGATCTGAAATATTCATTTTTAATACACATTTGCATTCTATTTTATCATATATCAATTTATCTGATTGCTTTGTCTTAGCTTATCTCAATTTCATTGCATTGAACTCAATGCTCATGCATTGATATGCTCAATCACAAAATCCAGTACTACAGTTACTGAGATGATTTTGCATTGGGGATAATCAAATGTTATGGGCATTTCAATTTTAAGTCACCCGTTTATATTTCAGTATTTTATGTTCACATCACATATAAAAAATACTGAGGCTGCTAAATCCAAAGGTTGTTCTAGTGATAGTCATTTAATCATTTATTTCTGTGGATGAATAACTAAGCGATTTCTTAAAAACTGAAAAACGAGACACACCTGGTTAAATACAAGGGGCCAAACAGCATCCACGGTAGAAATGGTGTGGAACTTGTCTGGGGGAGCCATAGGATCAATGCTTCCAATTTGGACTCTTAGAAAGGACTTGTTTGGAAATGTGACCCAATTGAAAACATCAAACCCAGTTTCAAATTCTCCATTGGGGCCAAAACAAACCTGTTCTCCAGCACTGTTGTTAAAAGAGACATGCTGCAAAAAATGGTGGAGCTAAATGAAAAATCAAAGTAATATAAATATTAACTGGATTCCTTGAAATCATATGGAGAAATCACAGTTCCTTCTGTTTTGCTTACAGTCAGTGGAATGCCATTTTTTCATCAACATACAGGGTTTTTAATTGAAAACAAAATAATTAAAAAATAATTGAAATTCATTTAAATTTGAAATATTCTTCATGCTATTGATTGACAAAGTTTTTACATTTGAAACTGTTAAATATACAGGTTGTAGATTAAATAAGATCCTTTATGTATTATTTCATACATGAAGTACATATTCAGAATTTTGCAGCATTAATTCAGCTCCAGAAAAATAAACACAGATGGGTTTGTTTATTTACAGCACTTATAAATATAATAAGTAGGGTTTTTAAACCAGTTGTAGATTTTTCCAACTTGCAGCAAACTCAGATAGAAACATATTGCAAGTCACTTCAGCAGACAAGCAAATTAGTTTCTCTTTTACTTTCATTCAGCAGGCAAGCAGAAGAGAGAAGCAGTTCATTTCAATAGACAGATTCAGAACTCAATAGCTTCAGAGTTGCACAGCTTAACATAGAGCCATGCCTAGGCTACTTCTAGTTTCAGTTTCCATCCTAGGCTATTTCTAGTTTCAGTTTCCAAATTGTCCCCATTGGCTGATTTAGTTACCATGCCTATTCATTGGCTGACCTTGTTACCAAGCTCTATCCCAGTTCATGAATATACAACATAAGTTATATATTTAAACTTTTTCAATATCTTCATTTCATTTTCAAACTTCATCCAATTTTGCATGCAAGATCTTTGTTATTCAGATCATTCAGATTATATTTGAAAAATAATAATAGTTTTTTTTAAAAAAATCTTTTGTTCATATAACAAAGCCAATTATTTGTAAAAGGATGGACCATGAGGGGAGGTATTTCATAAAAAATATCAAATAGAAATAAATATTCTTTCATTTTTTAACTGTCCAAACAAGAAGGAAATGAGCAAAAAAAAATCCAGATTACAAACTAAGCAATATGGTATACACAGTACAATGCAATGAAATATGTGGAGATTTCTTCATTGGGCAAACAAAACAACTCCTTCATAAAACATGGCACAACATGAGACAGTAAACACTATGTCAAAATTGATCAGCTCTCTCTAAACAGAGGGGGAGGGATACCACATCATCTATCTCCAGTCTACTACACGGTCCTTTAAAGCCAGTACTTTTATACCTGATCTTCCTTTATTTTGCATTAGCAAATGTTACCTGCCACGTTGATTGAATGAAATGCTTCTGCCTCCTCGGATCAAATTTTTGACCATCTTTGAGTTGGGAGGCATGCAATGCCCTCAGAGCATGTGCCACAGCATAGACTGCATTGTAGATGCTGTAACTAAGTCCACCCATGGTGGCCTCAAAGACAGAATTAGGAAGAGTGTCCAGCTTCTCTTCTCTAGTGCAGATTCTTTCAGCATTCTCATCTGAAATATCACTAGAAAATGAGCATTCAAATACATCTTTCCAGAAATCCCTAATAAAACCATTGTCTTTTTCAAAAATTGGGTTTTTTGTCTGCATAAATTGTTGGAATCCTATTATCTCTTTTGAATGAAGTGCAAAGGAAATTGCACCATGGAGAAAATCAATGGGCAATTGTCTTTGCATTAGAATAGAAGTGAATTCCATTTGAGCTGGCATGATCCAAACTTTGGCTTTTCTCTTCTTTGGAATATCATCAGAATCTAAACCAGCAAGCATCATCCTCAATGTCCCTATGTTTGAACTGTCACCATTCAAGATCACAGCAATGACTGTACTCCCCATGATTATTCTATATAATTTATCTGCTTCCTCCACCATTTCAGCAGTTTCATTACCATACATCATTTGGGGAATACATTCTGTAAAGTCAAAGCAGATTCCTCTCTCTAAAAACATGGAAAGACTCTTTTGAATGAACCTCTCTCTATCTTCCTCAAACTGAGAAATCATTCCAACCCAGATCCATCCAAAATACAACAGTAAGGACAGAATTCCTTTATGTTGGTGGATCTCATCAGGGAACATCCATTTTACAAAAAGTGCTGAATTGTCATTATATGTCAAGGGTGGTGATCCAAATGTGATCTAAGTGGGGAAAAGACAGAAGAACCAGAGTTTTTTAAGAAAAAATATATATAAAGGAATCATGCATATATCTTTATGTACTAACTGGGCCTGAGTGGGTGTTCCAGGCAAGTTCCTAAAAATGAAATTTTTACCAAATAATGTCTGCAAATTTAGTACTGCTCATCAAGCAAAAAGTAGAATCCTTTCTTCATAATCTTCATATCTACTAATTTCCTCATCATTAAATAACGCATATTGTTTGCTTCCAGAATCCTTTTCATTATCAGGACTCAACATTTGGAAATAATATACTTGTTGCTCCATATTTTTTCATGTTGCTCCATATTTTATTCACCTGGGGAAATTTATAGTTGCACAGAGCGGTTGCCATATTGAGACCGGTTTTAGTCTGTGGTCCTCCAATGATGGCCACCACATTTCTCTGGTCATTACATTTGTAATTTGGGATAAATTTATCCTTTGTAGATAGAAATTCCATTGCTAAAAGGTAAGTTGTATAATCCTCAGGATAGTTGGTAGCGATGTGGAAACCGAGGCTAACATTGGACAAAATCCCAGAATTTCCATTGATGTCCTTTACAGCAAATGCCAGAGCCAAAGTGTGTTGGTAATTTGGGGTGAGGAACCTTTAGTGAGAATTATATACTGAATGAATATACTTCTGCTTTAGATTCAGACAGTAAATATTTTAAATATATTCGTGTGTGTGTATATACATACACACACATTTAAAATATCTACTGTCTGAAGATATCTACTGTTTGTCATACAGGCACATATACACAAGACATACATACTTAGTGTGTGCATATATGTCTGTTTGAACATGCATACATATAAACTTACATACAAAAACAAATATCTGCAAAACCATAATTTGATTATATGATAGAGAATCATAGATAGGGTGGAGCAGTAAGCTAAAATCAAACCGAGAAAGCATTTGCACCCTGCTTTCTTCTGTATTTAAGATTCTTCTTCTGTACTTAAGATTTTAAATTCATGATGAAATATCTCTTCCAGAATGAATTTGGATGCAAAGGTAGTATTTGATTTCAGTTTTGTCTATAATTTGCCCAATTTTTTCTAAGAGCAGGAAGTCAGTTCCTTCTTTACACCATAGAATTGTAAAAAGTAGAAAAGTTTCTCAAACAAATCAGTGGGCTTAGTGTTTTAATTTTTGGTTGAGATGAAATGTGAAGAAGCTTGGGATTTTACTGAGGAGATCTCCAAGTTTTGAATTTTTCAACCTTTTTAGTGTCCTAGAAAGTTGATTTGTCTCAATTTAACCTCCAGTGATTGAACACGCTGATTTTCTCCCAGTTATGGAATTAAAAATGGCTAACCATGGATACTGGATTAACAACTGAAATGTTTCAACAGAAAGATGGAACATAGATAATCCAGTATAGGTAGAAATAAGGAAAATAAGAAGAGGAGCTGCAGGAGTAGTAACAGGGGGATACTTACATGTACTGATCAAGTACTTCATGAGAAGGAAGGCTTTGGAAAGTGATCTCATTTGAAAGAAAGAAGACTTGATAAATAATTGCAGCAATGATTATGTCTCCAGACTGATAATACTTGTGAATGACTGGAAGAGGACTACTGAGCTTGCAATTGTAAATAGGAGAAATTAACAGGGTAGGAAAAAAAGATAAAACTACGGTCCTGATCATAACCAACTCAGTGTAATATATAGTCATTAGAGACATTAAAGAGCAACTGCTATGTTACCATTCAACCAAAGCCATGGGTTGGGCACTCATTTACGTTACCAAAGATAATACAATGAAGGTTATCTGGAATTAAGACAAGGATGTATCACAGATCAAACACAAATCCTTCTTTTTCTCCATGCAGGCAGATCTTTATATTTCTGTGCAGATGTGAATGCTATGTAATGTCTTAATCTTAGGGTCATAATTTTGTCAGTGTCTACTGAAATTCCCTTGAGAGATAAAGTAGAAGGGACACTGACTATACTAATTAGTAATCAGTGCTATTATTTTTTTCCAAAAGTACTGTCTTTGAAGAATATCAGAAGGAAACATGTTTACCACATCTCAGTACTCACTGCAACACTGCTATGAACCTTTGAAAGTAATACACAAAGTAGAAAATTGTGCAGTGGGAGGTTATATCCACAAAGAAGAAAGCAAAATACAATTAGAAAGAAAAAGAAACATGTCTGTTGAAGTCATAGTGTTCTCTCCTTTGTTAAATACAGGATCTACCTTATAAAGTGGTACAGTAACAATTACTTAAGCTTTAGAAGGATTTACTGATACCATATCCCATAAGCCTGTGCATTTTGTTAAGTGGGACCTAGCAGGAAAGCACTTTCTGCCCTCGCCTTATCTTGGAGATCTTTCTTGCTCTCAAGATGTGGCTGGCCCCAATCCAGTCATCCTTCTGGAAGGCTCTTAAAAGTCAAATGTCCTGGAGATCATATCTTAGAGGGGATCCTACTACATCACGTTATATGACAAAATGGTCTGTCTTGACATGACACAATATGATATTTAATTGAAGTGCACTGTCCGTTATCCTATTTTGCCATTTAGTTTCTATCTTTGTAATTTAGTATGGAATAAATCAACAAATGGAAGTTAAAATCAAATACTAATCTACTTTTACAAACAACTGCTATTTTTATTTTTTGTTCTTTTTTGTTCTTTTTTCTTTATTTTTCTTCTGCCATTTATAAAAAACAATAAGTAGCAATCTAATGGAGATTTCACTTTATAGTATGTAGCTCAAGAAAGAAACATTTATTACACCATAAAACAATTCCATCCATTTTACAGTTATTTATTAAGGATTAGATAGCTCAAGATTTTCAGTCACCATAATACCAATTAAAAATTCAACCCCATTTATATTATTAAATCATCCATATATTCAATATATTCCTTTCCTTACCCATTTGGTAAGTTATCTTCCCTTCTGGACACTGTCTACAGTCATAGCCGCAGGATAATCTCCCTTCTATTTTTACCTTACTATAGCCAACATTTCCCTTTACAGATGGAAAGAGGAATTGGAAATCTTTCACTTGAAGAGCATACATGTTGGAAGTGTTTATTTTATCAAGTATATATACGCTAACTTATCACATCCTCATCAAAACTAAGTGTCCCATTTCCCCATTTTCTTTTGTTTTAAATTTTAAAAAGAGTATACTCGCAATATTGCATCCTATTTTGATTGCCACAATAGAAAAAGATGTGAAGAGTATAGACAGAGTGCAGAGAACTGCAACCAAGATGATTTGGGATTGGAGGCTAAACCATATGAAGAACAGTTGCAAGCAGTCTTCCAATATCTTAGGGCCTTCTATAAAGAAGAGGCATTCAACCTATCTCTAGGATTCATTTCATTATATATATTGCATTATTTTTTAACATATCCCATTTTATTTTACTGTTTTATCTTCTGTAGTTTTATTGTATTTTATCTGATCCTCATTTTAATAATATGACCCACTGAGTAATTAGTAGAGATTACTACTATGATTTGTACTGGGATGATGTTACACTGGAACTAAATTAATAAATACTATTTCATTACTTCAATACTTAAACACTGATTACTTCATTACCTCAAAACATAACTTTTCTACCTCATGACCTATACCAATGATTAGATAATGATGTCTCTAAAACAATTTGTATAAAATAATTAATTTATCAATTGATTAATTTTCTTATTGTTTGATTGATTAGTGTGGTTAGAAGGTTTAGTGCAAATAGTATGATTACTGATCAGTGTAAATGATCAGTGATTTATGTAATTTAATTGATTAGTAAAATTAGTGGTTTCATGAATTTAATTGACCAGTGTGATTAGCGATTAGTATAATTAATTGATTAGGTTGATTGTGATTAGAGCTTAGTGTAATTAATTGATTAGGCTGATTGTTGCTTAGTGAAATTATTTGACATGGGTGATTATTGTATTTTATTAATTAGTGTGATATTGGCTATATTGATTACCCAAATATCTTGTTTGATTGAACAATTTTATCAACGTACCATCTCAACAATCCTTCCATGCCAGGAAAAAAACCCAATGCCAAACAACAACCCAAAGAGAAAGAAATCCCCACCAATGAACCACAAGACTCCAGCACATGCCTTATATGTAAAGAAACTCTAAAGGATAATGAAAGTTCCACCAATTATGACAATTATGCTCACCATGGCTGCTTGGGATTATCCAAGTAAACGACTCAATTCCTAGAATCATCCAACCATGCATTTCCATATTTAGCCCTGTTGGGCTAAATTGTGGTTGTACATTGAAAACTATTTGTACTGTATATAGCTAGTCCTTACTTAAAATCATTGGTAACTTTTGAACTGGTAACTATTCAAAGTTACAAAGGCATTGAAGAAAGTAACTGATGGCTGTTTTTCACATTATGACTATTGCAGAATCCCAATGGTCATGCAATTGAAATTTGGATGCTTGGCAGCTGGTTCATATTTATGATTCTGTGTCCTGGGGCCATGTGATCATCTATGGGACCTTCTGACAAGCAAAGTCAATGGGAAAACCAAATTCACTTAAAAACAGAAGTTCCTTACTTAACAACTGCAGCAATTCATTTAACAGTTGTGGCAAGAAAGGTTATAAAATTAGGCAAATCTCACTTAACACTATCTTGCTTCACAACATAGATTTTGGGCTCAATTGTGGTCATAGTCAAAGACTTCCTATATGGTCTCTTGTATTATGAACACTGCTTAGAATCACTACATGAGGAGGTGTGTTATAAAAATTTGATAAGTAAATAAAGGGGACATTACAAACCAAATAGTAATTTACTTTTACAAATACATGTCTTTTTCTTTTTCTTCCTTTTTCTTTATTTTCTCTCTGGCATTTGTAAACAACAATAAATAAGAATTCAGTGAAGATCTCGGTGTTAAGGATTGAACTTAAGATAAAAAACATTTATTGAATTATAAATTAAGATCATCTATTTCGCAATTGTCAACCAAGCCACATATAACCCTTTATTCATTAGCATCCGAGAAACCATAATTCATATTGACATTATTTTCCCCTTATCTTTAAAATTTTAAATTATGTAAATCATCCTAGGATTAACTCTTTATAATTACTACTGGATTGATGCCAATGTGGCTGCTGTAATACAACTGAATATTTGCTTTTTATAACAAGACAATATATTTAAGAAGTAAAAGAAATGCCACACTCATCAATATAAAAAAACCAGCCTCCCCTACATTTTAGCTTAATTCCAATTCCAATTATAATTTTTTATCTATTTTATTTTTTTCTAGATTTTGTTCTATTGTACTTTATTTATTTATTTGATTTTTTGTTAGATTTTATTGTTTTTTATTTTTATTTTAAATATGGTTTTACACTGTGTAAGCTGCAAGTTTAAGATGGGTGAACTATATGCTACCTTGAGAATTTTGGGAATTGAAGTCCATGCACCTTAAAATTGCCAAAGTTGAGAAGCATGAGTCTATACTATAGCTTAGGATTTTCCATTCCTGATTTATTTTGAGTTTGGTGCAATTAAATCAATCAATTGTGGTTTCCTTAACAAATACTGATTAAAGCAATATGAACCATAGATGCAGATATTTCATTACCAAACTAGGTAACATCATCAGTACTAGAAGGGAGTGGAGTTTGCTCTTAGTTTCATATATTAGTGGCTTACCCTCAATGTTGACCATTTGCTTCACAAACAATATTTTGATTGGTGCCAGATGTCTATAGCCTCAGACAGAGAAGAACTATTTTGCAAATCTCCTTCAAATGTTCTTTAAAATACAGAATTTCCCAACATTCCTTTTGGAAACTCCAACATGCAAACTGTGATTACTCCTCCTTCAAGCTCTTTACCTGGAGCTTGAAAATTTGCTGTTTGTTGGGAAGATATGTAGCTAAAAATCAGTCTACATTTAGTGTACATCTGATTTGTGGTTCCAACTTTAGGTTACATTTTTGGCTGATTATTTTATTTCTATTATTAGTAAGGAAATGAATGAGAAATCATCATTTTAATAATTATTCCTGAATTTTTATAATTATTCCTTCACTAGATGGAACCCAAGGACTAGATTAGTGTCGCTCAGCTGAAAGATGTATGGATTTTAACTCCCAGAATTCTCTAGCCAGTCATCAAGGAGTTTCCACAGAAGATTGTAGAGAAGAATAGAGCTAAGAATCTATAAGAGTTCCAGACAGGCATTAGATCCAGGCAGGCATTAGATAATCTACCAGACACTGTAGCAGTAGACAGATTAATAGACAAAGACCAGAAGAGCTCAGGAGGCCAGGCAAGCCGAGCAAGGCAAGGCACCCCTTGACATGAGTGATATGGAGTTAGTCACGTGCCCCCAGTCACATGACTGCCCAGTCATACCCACCCAGTCACATGAACACTAACCACACCCACGAAACCATGCCCACAGAATTGGCAGCAAATTTTATTGACTCCCACATTGATTAGTTTGTAATTCTTGTGCTTGAGCAGCAAGTATTAAACCTTCCATGTCTTCCTTGATGGAAGAATAAGCCATGCCCATGTCAAGCTGTCATCACATTTTCCTTCAATGTTTTTCAAGTGCTGTCCATGCAAAGCTTTGGTTTTCCATCTATTTAATCTATCTTCCAGCTTTAATTCCTTATATTCTGCCTCTGCTTCTGTTGTTTTTATAATGTTCTCGGTTTTTACAGCCTGCAGCAATTTTTCTGTACTTTGGTTCACATAATCATTCTGTTATTGGTATTGTTATTGTTGTTGTTATTGTTATGATTATCGTTATCATAAAAGCTGTTGCTATTGCTGTTGCTGTTGCTGTTGCTGTTTCTGTATTATTATTATTATTATTATTATTATTATTATTATTATTATTATTATTATTATTATTTTGTTATTATTATTATTATTAAAACATGAAACTCCGTCAACTGAACATTTAAAAATGTATCACAAATATCACTGACTGGCTGCAATGGTTGATACAGGTTGCTGACAGCATCCTATGTATCAACAAGAATTTTCTTCAAATGTGTGTTGTTTTGAGTAGCACAAACTTTTGCAGCTTGTTGGCATTATAGCAGGAAGCTGAAAATTCTTGATGGACATTGTACCAAGTACCCCGATGACAATAGGTATCATTGTTACATGTTTCATCCAATAATTGCATAGTTTCGATATCCAAATAATTTTTCCAGTTCTTTTTCATTAGAATTATGATTATACATTTTTGTCATTCTAATAAATGCAGCCAAATACTTAGGCCTTCTGAAACATTTTGGGATTTGGCTTTTGAAATTTATTGAGGGCAAGAAATAAAACACAGATATAAATCCACCATTAGACCAATATCTTTAAGGAAAATTTAAGGCAGTTACATGAGGGAAGCTAAGAAGTAATTCTCCCTCACAATCTTCTTCCAAACTCTTTATTCAATTTCCACAACAACATAACTGTGGATGCTATCATGCTTCAAGGGGACTAGTATTGATTGTTTCCCAATTTCTGGACAACTATCTTATCCATAACACCAACATCTGGGTCTCAACTATCCATATTTGGAACAGTAGAAATTAGTGGGTATTTTCCTCTATTTTTTTTTTAAAAAAACATACTTCTGAAGAATATTACGATGGTTGGAAAGATTTTTTTTAATCAAATATTTTATGAGGCTTGTGGGTTCCGGGACACAAATTCAATAAGTATGAGACAACTGAACATTGTAATATTAAAAACCAATTTTTAAACACAATTATCTTCTTGTTTACATATTCCCATTTATACTTATTGGAGCTCAGAATAATGATCTAATAGTTCAAAAAGAAAAAATTCATGGAAACTCGCTAGGTCCTAAAGTTAACTTGGAAATATAATCACAGCTAATACTTTGAAAGTCACCTTCTTGTGTGACTCTACCTGAATACTTATCCACATATCTGAAAATTATGAAAAAGTTGTTATAGAAGAGAAAAATGTCTGAATGTTAAATGAGAGTTTGCAGTCACACAAGTTCGCTGTATGTTTACTTTTCCAGTACTGTCTAACTTCCTGCTTTATCTTATTTTCATGAGAATCTTCATGCAAAGCAAAGGTGACATGCTAAACTATCTGTCATATTCATTTTTAATATATATTTGCATTCTATTTTATCAAATACCAATTTATCTGATTGCTTTGTCTTAGCTTATCTCAATTTCATTGCATTGAACTCAATGCTCATGCATTGATATGCTCAACTGACTAATCACAAAATCCAGTACTCCAATTACTGAGATGATTTTGCATTGGAGATAATCAAAGGTTATGGGCATTTCAATTTTAAGTCACCCGTTTATATTTTGCCAGTTTATGTTCACATTACATATAAAAAATACTGAGGCTGCTAAATCCAAAGGTTGTTGTCGTAATAGTCATTTAATCATTTATTTGTGTGGATAAATGAATACACAATTTCTTAAAAACTGAAAAACGAGACACTCCTGGTTAAATACAAGGGGCCAAACAGCATCCATGGTAGAAATGGTGTGGAACTTGTCTGGGGGAGCCATGGGATCAATGTTTCCAATTTGGACTCTTAGAAAGGACTTGTTTGGAAATGTGACCCAATTGAAGACATCAAACCCAATTTCAAATTCTCCATTGGAGCCCAAAGACACCTGTTCTCCAGCACTGTTGTTAAAGGAGACATGCTGCAAAAAATGGTGGAGCTGAATGAAAAATCAAAGTAATATAAATATTAACAGGAAATACAAATAAATAAATATTGTTTCATTTTTTAACTGTCCAAACAAGAAGGAAATGAGAAAAAAAATCCAGATTACAAACTAAGCAATGTGGTATATGCAGTAGAATGCCATGAAATATGTGGAGATTTCTTCAGTGGGGAAACAAAACAACTCCTTCATAAAACATTACAACATATTTTTACTTGAAGTCAAAAGTGTCATCAAACTATATGTACTAATAACAACTCCAAAAACCAGAAAAAACAGATTATTCATAACAATAAGGAAGCTTCAATCCAAAAAGAAATAATTTTGGCAGAAAAACAAATCTGGTCATGTTTCCAACTTCAAAAGCTGATACAAAATTTTATGCCATGAGGTAAAGGCTGAATCCACCAATTATTACATTGAACAAAAACCTTCTATGCACCAATTCCACCCGCACTTTCTACAATTTTGTAAACAACAGACTAAAAGACTCAAGGGCCATCCCACCCTGAAAGGACCTAATGGTAAAGACTGCAATGATGACACTATTAAAGCCAAGCTCTTTAACACATTCTTTAGTTCAGTATTTGTAAACAGCAATGGATCATGCCCAGTATTTCCCAGTCGAACCACAAATAACCACAATGATCTAATACATATTGATTTTATAGAAGACAATGGTGAAAAAGCACTGCGCAATCTAAAACCATCCCTATCTATTGGACCGGACAGAATACATGCCTACTTCTTAAAAAAGCTATCTACTGCCATAGGCGAACCTCTAAGCATAATCTTTGAAAAATCTTTCAGGATGAGCTCCTTGCCAAAACAGGAAATTACATAAGAAAATAATTGATCTGGATTATGCTAATATCTGTCTGATGGGAGATTTTAATGGATTAATAAATGACAAATGGGACTATAAAACACACACACACACACAAAAAACAGCACAGAAAACTAGAAAGACATTTTCAAAATCCTTCTTTCGAATGGTAGGTGAGATAAACTTAAAAGATGCATGGAGAGAGAGAAATGAGGAAAATAAACAATATACCTTTTATTCAAATATACATGTATCATGGTCTAGAATAGATATGATGGATGTCAACAGAATTACTTTCTATCACACAAGACATTGAAATAGAAGCAAGTACCTGGGCAGATCACAATCCAATAACACTTGTATGGAAATTACAAAAAAGGAGATCTAGATGAATTTTAAATAATATGATATTAAAGGAAAAAGACTTGAAACAGAAAATTGAGAGAGAATTCACTTTTTTCTTTGAAGAAAACACAAAAGAGGATACATCATTTCAGAACCTCTGGGACATGATGAAGGCTTATACAAGAGGCTTGATAATGGACAATACAAGAAAAAGAAATATAAAACAGAAAAGAAACCTTTAAAATATTGGAAGATGACTACAAGAAGTTGGAAAAAGAACTACAGAAATTTCCACCAAAAAGGACATTAAAATTAAAATGAACATAACTAAACATAAAATGGTGCTAATGGAAAAAGTAGAAATAGCACAAAAAATTAAAAATGCCAAGCAGAACTATTTTGAAGATGCAAACAAACTAGGCAGATGGCTAGCATATAAATTGATAAAGGAAAGAGACTTGAGAAGGATAAATCAATTGATAAATGAACAAGGACATATATGCTATGGAAATGCAGAGAAGAAAAAAATTATTCAAGATTATTATGGAAAAATGTACCATCAAGAGAATGTTCAGGAAGAAAGAATTCAACAATATTTACAGGAAGCAAATTTGCCTCAGATAGCTAAAGATATTGAAATAAAGTTAGAAAGTAACATAACAATGATGGAATGAACAGAAGCTTTAAAAAAGCAAAACATTGGGAAAGCACCAGGTCCGGACAGTTTGCCAGTGGAATTTTATAAGACATTCCAGGAAACATTGATTCTTCACTTATTAGAAGTTATGAATGAAGTTATGACAAAGAAGAGAATACCCAAAACATGGTCAGATGCATACATCACACTCGTACTGCAGGAGGACACAGATCCACAGTAAGTTAAAAACTACAGACCAATATCACTATTAAATTCAGATTATAAAATTTTTCTTCAATTCTGGCAGAAAGACTGAAAAGATACTTAAACAATTTTATTCACCCTGATCAAAATGGATTTCTGCCAAAGGGACAGATTAAATATAATATGAGAATAATTTTAGATTCACTGGAATACTATGAGGCACATTCCGAAAAACAAATGGCTCTGATGTTTTTTAGATACATAAAAAGCTTCTGATAATGTGAATTGGTGTTTTATGCTGTTACAATTGGACCAAATGGGCTTTGGTAAAAAATTTACTCAAGCCATAGAAACAATATATCATAAACAAACTGCAAAGGTTATGATAAATGGAGAATTAACAGACTTTAGATATAAGAAAAGGGACCAAACAAGGCTGTCCACTGTCACCTCTGTTGTTTGTGTTAACACTGGAAGTGCTGAATAGGAACATCAGAGAAGAAAAAGAAATAAAAGGAATGAAAATTAAGAAAGAAGAGTACAAATTGCAAGCCTTTGCAGATGACCTGACATTTATATTAGAAGATCCATTGGAGTCAGCACCTAAACTGATCGAAAAGATAGAAGAGTATGAGAAAGTATCAGGAAAATAAATAAAGATAAAACAAAGATTTTAGCAAAGAACATGTTAGTAAGATGAAAGAAAGAATTGGAGGATGTTTTGGGGATCCAGGTCACAAATAAGGTTAAGTATTTAGGGATACACATAACACCAAGATGTAGCACACGTAAGGAGGATAAGTATCTTAAACTTAAACAATAGATTGTGACAGACTGGATAAAATGGGAAAATTTACAATTATCACTGATTGGGGGAATATCTACAATTAAGATGAATGTATTGCCTAGAATCTTATATTTATTCTAGACAATTCCAATCAGATTAGGAAATAATTTTTGGAAGATTTAAACAAAATAGTGCTAAAATACATTTGGCAGGGAAGAAAATGAGAATAAAACTTAAATTGCTACAAGATGCAAAAATAAGAGGAGGATTCGCTTTGCCCAATTGGGAATTATACTACCAAGCGACGAGTTTGATGTAGGTAAAGGAGTGGGTAACACTAAAGAATACCAGACCTTTGAATTTAGAAGGACATGACTTGCTGTTAGGGTGGCATGCCTTCCTCTGGTATAAGGAACTAAAACACAGGGGTATTTTAGAAACCATTATATTTGAGAAGCATTGTTTCTAAACTGGTAGAAGATATTAATATTATTATAAAAATATTAATATTATTTAAAAATTCCACTATGGATATCTACTGTTGAAGCTTTTTCATATCAAATAATATATAAAAAGGAACAAACAGTTAGATATGGTGAGATATTGAATGAAAAGGATGAACTTAAATCTATGCAAGCATTGGAATAACAAGGTGTAA